TAGTAGTAGTAGTAGTAGTAGTAGTGGTAGTAGTAGTTGTAGTTGTTGTATTAGTAGTTGTAGTAGTAGTAGTAGTAGTAGTAGTAGTAGTAGTAGTAGTAGTAGTAGTAATAGTAGTAGTTGTAGTTGTAGTTGTAGTAGTATGAGGAGGATTTGGAGGAGGAGGAGGAGGAGAGGGGGGCGAGTAATACTACTATTGCTACTCCTCCTCCTCCTCCTCCTACTACTACTACTACTACTACTACTACTACTAGTCCTAATACTAGTACTACTAGTACTACTAGTCCTATTAGTTCCACTAGTCCTGCAACTATAACTACAACAACAACTACTACTATTACGACCACTCCGACTACTAATATTATTACGACTGCCAACAAACATGTTTCAAATGTTGAGAAGTCGAATGCTAAACTACTGCTCATAGTAGTAGTAGTAGTAGTAGTAGTAGTAGTAGTAGTAGTAGTAGTAGTAGTAGTAGTAGTCAGTAAAAACGCAGAACTCTTAGACTAAAACACATCAGAAGCTTCACACTGCTAATATTAGTTGTAGTAAGAACGCGAATGTTCATTCAACTGGTGATACTCATACTAAGCATGGTGAAACTTAATAAGAACACGACTAGTAGCAATAGTAGGGATAGTATTAATAGTAAGTTTATGATATTAATCACAGTCATCGTAATAATAAGCGTAGTAATGCTGATGCGAATAGTAGTACTATTAATAACACGATTCCTACTCGTACTACTAATAGTGATAAAACGATGAGGAGGAGGGGGAGGAGGAGGAAGAGGAGGAGAAGGACGACGATGGTGATGATGGTGGTGGTGGTGGGGAGGCAGGACGAGGCGGAGAAGAAGGAGGAGGAGGAGGCGGAGGCTGAGGATGAGGAGGAGCAGGAGAAGGATGAGGAGGAGCAGGAGGGGGAGGAGGATGAGGAGGAGGAGGAGGAGGAGGAGGGGGACGAGGAGGGGTCCCCGATACCTCCAGATGTGGCAGACCAGTGGCCAGACCCCTTCGTCCGACGGTGAATCATCGTGCTTGCTGGAAAACTGGTGCAACACAAATCCCTCACTGTCCCATCATCCCGACCCCCCAGGGCGTGCCTGCATGTCCGTCAGGCGCAGATGAGCTTGGGAGAAGGCGGAAAACGAAGAATGACCTGCGGGGCTCTGTCTTTCAGAGAGGAGTGGTCAGGGGCCCGAGAGTTCCAACTTCCCACTCCCATGCCAGCAGCTCTCTCCTCTCTTGAGCATCCTGAGGTCCAGATTGTTGGGATCGGACGGGCAGGTATGATCCATAAGCCTACATGCCTTCTGCCACGCAACAGCCCCACAGCTCATACAGAAGAGGACCAGCCGTCCAGAAGGCACGGTCGCAGCCAGCAATCTGTGTTCATCACCAGGTCGACACTTTCCTGCACCCAGGGAACCAGATTGAAGCAGGTGGTTTTGGACAGCTGTCGGCTGCCTTTTCTGTGACACCCACGGCACCGCCTCTGGCCACTATCATCGGACGGAGTCAGGACGAGGATACATCCGTTCCGGACTATTCCAGAACGCTTTCACAGCGTTCCGGAATCAGAGAATGCTCTAGACTATTCCAGAACGCTTTCTCTGATACATCTTCCCGAGCCGCCGGATCTCAGAGATTCTTGATTTATCCTCACCCGATTGTATCCTCGTCCTGTATTCGTCTTACATCACACAGGCGCATCGGGGCGATCAGCCCGAGGGGCAGCGGGGGGCGCTGTCGAGGACCACGGGCAAGGTCACCGAAGAGGTCTCTGGTTGGTGGCCAGCGCTTGAGCATTTGGAGTATCGCCGTCTCTGCATTCTGAAGCCGCTGCTCCCGCCGTCATAGGTGCGGTTGTCTTCAGTGAAGTCTTCCTCGGCAAACCCATCTGACCAAATCTTCTCACGAATTTGCTACGACCATCGGCCAAGGAATCACCTTCTTCAGCTGTGCGTGTGCCGACCTTGACTGGGTCCAGCTTGGGGCCCCCGATCAGCCTCCACCACCGGGCGTTGGCCGAGTCGATCCGGGAAATCCGCGCGGACCGCGCGTTCCCCCAAGTGCAGTGCTCGGGGACACGACTCGGCCACCGCCAGGTGGTGGAGGCTGCTCGGGGGCCCCGAGCTGGGCCCAGTCAAGGTCGGCACACATGCAGCCGAAGAGGTTGATGCCTTGGCCGATGGTCGTCTTATTTTTGTCCCCCTAGCACTGGACTGCGAACACTCGTGAGGGGTGTCGAAAAATTGCCCGGTCCGGCATCTCTGACCTGGACTTGCCGGGACCTTGCCGGGACCTTGCCGGGGTATTTTTCGCCCGGAGACCCCCAGGGGCCGCCCCGCGCGCGCGAAGTAGACTGTTGTTAACCAGTTACTGGAGATCTTAGCACGCCTCTGGCCCGTTGGGCCGGCGAATTTTTGTTCCCCTGGCGCGAAGCTCTGATTTCAGGTTTGCTCTTGCCGACGATTGGGCTGCTCATGCTTGCTCTTGCCCCACACAAGCACTGCCCTCTCCCCCGCCGCCCCAGAAACGCGGATCGCGTTCGCTGCCCCTCAGCGAGCCTCAACCTTGGCCGATGGTCGTTTTATCTTTGTTCCCCTGGCACTGGACGGCGAACACCCTCCTCGACAGTCCGGCCCTCCGCGAAGTAGAATATTGTTAACCTATTCCCGGAGATCTTAGCATTAAGTCGGGCCTGTCCCTCTACAGGGGGGATGTTCAAAAATAGTCAAAAAATAGTCTGGGGACGATGTTTTGACTATTTTTGAGTATGTGGGGCGTATTTTTGTTAGTATTTTTTATTTTTCGTCCAAAATCCCCCTGTAGGGGGACATGCCCGACATAATCTTTGGCACGCCTCTGGCCCGCTGGGCCGGCGAATTTTTGTTCCCCTGGTACTGGACTGCGAACACCCTCTTCGACGGCCCGGCTCTCCGCGTGGGCCGGGGTGGCTGCGGGGCAAGGGCCTGGGCGTGCGCAGCGGAGCTCGCCCGGGCCAGCCTCGAGTTTAGGGGAACAAAAAGTGACATAAACATAAAGACTCGGGGGTCCGCGCGGATTTCTCGGATCGGCGCTGGACCCCCCTCCCTGGCGCGCGGAGCGCGCCAGGGGCGGCGCTGGAGGCGCCGCCGGGGGGCCCCAGCGCCGATCCGAGAAATCCGCGCGGACCTCAGAAATAGTCAAAACATAGTCAGGGGCCTATGTCTTGGAGCATTTTGGGGGTATCTTTTGAGATGTTTGCTTCTCTCTCCGCCCAAGGTCCCCCTGTAGGGGGACACTCCCGACTTGAGGCAAGCCCCAGCATCTCCACAGACAGCGCAGTTTGAGGCAGCCTCGTTGTGACAAGTCCTTTCAGGCCACTGAGGAAGCCTGCAGCCTCCCCCATGCCAACCACCGTCCAGTCCAGTCCGCACGGGCCACCCCAGCTCACGATAAAGATGAGGGTCTCTGAGGAAAGCACGAACGGCTCCAGGCTCCAGGGGCCCTTCAAAGCCAAAATTGTCGCAGGGGGCCTCGTCAGGCTCAGTCGTCATCACAGGTCGCTGTAGCCATGGGCGAAGTTAGACAGAGGATCATTATCCACCACGATTCGAGCAATACACAGAACCTCCTCATCGATACCGTCACGTTCCGCATTGAAGTGAGGACGCATCCAGCTCATGCTTTAGATGGTGTCGAGAGATCCGCATTGCGGGCACTTGCCAGATGTAAGATATTCCAATCGAGCAAGATCACCCGCAGTGATGTACTTATAGTGCCCCTCGGCTCATCCCGCCACTGCTCGCTCCCTGGTTGTTGGCAAGAGACCTCTTGGACCTCTACGGAGTGGCCTCTTGGGGCCCCGATTTGGGCCTCTTCCGGGCCTTCAGGAGTATCCGGAGGGGCTTCTTGGGGGCTTGCTGGCGGTCTCGGATGTCGTCTTAGGGCGGAGAGCTCGAATTGCTGGTTCGCGTCCCCCTCTGTGGCCTCTCCTAGGCGTCTCTTGGGCCCTCTTGGGCTGTATTGGGGGCCTCTTGGGCCGTCTTGGAGCCTCTCAGGCCGTCTGGGGGCCCTCTCGAGAGCTTATCGGGCTGTCTTGGGGCAATCTTGGAGCGCTCTTGGGCCGTCTTGGAGCGTCGACAGGCTGACAAGGCGACAAATACTCGATTTTGGTCTCTCGGGGCCCTCCTTGGAGCCCTCCTGGAGCGTTTTGGGGGCCTGTTGGGCCGTCTGGATGCCATCTTTGGCAGTTTTGGAGCGATCCTCGGCCGACTCAGACTCCGCTTGGACCATCTTTGTGGCCTCTTTGAGCCCTCTTCGCCCGCTCTGGAGTCTTCTTCGCTCCAGAGAAGTCGCCTTTCGGCACGGCCCAGCAGGACCCCGTGATTCAGGAGGAATAGAAAATATGGGAAAATATGGGAAGTGGGGAGGGAAGACAGAAACACAGAAAATATGGGAAAATATGGGGAATCTTTTTATTTGTGTGTATTTATTTAGTGTGTCCTGGGGCCCCTTCAGTGATGCCCGGGAGCGCCAGGAGCCGTTGGAACTCTTTGGGCCGCTTGGCCCGAAGACACGGCCCAGGAGGAAGAGCTGGCCCTGGGGAAGAGGCTCTGGTCCAGGTCTCAGGGGGCCCCGTATTGAGAAAACTCCATTGTGGGCGGACAGAACCCCCAACAGTGACACGTCGATTAGTGAATTGTCCGTTTTCGGTTCTCGAGAGGGCGCCGCGGCCGTTATTTTCCAGGCTTGCGCCCGCCAGGTTTGGGCCCGAGGTCGTTTTCACTAAACCACGTTTTACTAAAGGGAGGTCTGTCCATCCCCGAATTGAGAAAACTCCAGACAGCGAAGGTCTATGATACACGTGCTCCGACCCCGACCAGGCCAGTTCCGGACCGGAAGCTGGTGTGTACGCCACCTTTCCTGCGCACGGGCGGGCATCGATGCCGGTGTCTTGCTGGCGCCCCTCGAGATCTCGATGACGCGCTGCGTCCTCACCACTGCGTTTGACCTCATGCCACCCGGGCTTGGCCAGAAACCGAAGACATCGGATGTCTGGGCCAACCTGCCTCGAGCGTGCCGCGTCTCGGCACGGCTTGAGCCGCCGATGGTGTGCTCGCTCGACCCTCTCAACCCTGCCTCCGGCCTTGATCCTTTGTGCGCTGGCCCCAGCCCTGATCCCGCTCGGCCACGCGCAGAGGGTGGTAGGGTTAAGTCGGGCCTGTCCCTCTACAGGGGGAAGGTTCAATAATAGTAAAACAAATGTATGGGAGCTAATTTTTCTAGTATGTTCTTGGCATATTTTGATATTTTTTGAGTATTTTTGTTCGTCCAAAACTCCTGTAGGGGGACACGCCCGACTTAATGGTAGGGGGAGGGGGGAAGGCGCCTCGTTTCTTAGAAACCGCTGGTCTCGTCTATACGTTTGAGGCAGGCGCCCTCTAAGGAGCAGCCTCCTCCTGGGAAGCCTTCCCCCCTCCCCCTGACCCCTGCTGCGCGCCGCCAGCCCGCCCCTTGCCCCTGCGCCTCACCCGTGGCACCCCTCCCCCTCCTCCCGCCTCAGGGGCAACGTCAGGGGGATAGGCTCAGGGGAGGATGCGGCACTCGATCGCCCATTGGTCACCGACAGGGGCCTGATGGCCCACCCCGCCCAGATGTGCGGTTTCGCTATCAGGCGCTCATCGCCGATCCATCGGCGATGCATCGCTGATTTAAGCTCGATGTTCCTCCCCTGAGCTGGTCTCGTGGTGGTTTTCGGGTCGCAGTTCGGGACGATGCGGGTACCTCAGGAACGCTCTCGGCGAGGCGCATCCGCTGGAAGGCCGCCGAGAAGCAGCAAAATCGCATGAAAAACCTCAACCATCGTCGAACTTCCCCCCCCTCGAACTCCCCCCCCCTCGAACTTCGAACTCCCCCCCCTCGAAAACTCCCGAAAGCCTCCACCTTCGAACTTCGCGTCTTCGAACTTCCCCCCCATCGAGCCAGCCGCCCTGGCTGCAGGCGTGTCCGCGCGCTCGCCCGACCTCCCCCCCCCAGGAGAAGCTGCGCGACGACGACGGCGGCCGCGGGCGCTCCGACAGCCGCCGCCGCTCCCCGTCCCGGCGCAAGGATTCGAGGACCCAAGGGGAGGGGTGCCTCGGGCTTGGCCGGCGCCCTGTCCCGGGGGGGGGGGGAGGAGGAGGAGGAGGAGGAGGAGGAGGAGGAGGAGAGGAGGAGGAGGAGGAGGAGGAGGAGGAGGAGGAGGGAGGAGGAGGAGGAGGAGGAGGAGGAGGAGGAGGAGGAGGAGGAGGAGGAGGAGGAGGAGGAGGAGGAGGAGCTGTTTCAGCTGTTTCGCCTCTCGCTCCCCGCGATTCGCGAGGCGACCCCGCCGCGCCTGCCGCCCTCGCCGCGGCGGCCTGCACTCGGGAGGTCGCGGCCCTGGGGCCCACCTCCTCTCCACTCGCGTCTTGCGGAGGCGAGTGGAGTAAGGGTGACGAGCGCGCCCCTCGTGGTGTCCTCGTTCCGCCCCCGAGATCCTTAGCACCCCGCGCGGCGCCCTCGGGGCGTGAACCCCGAGCCCCCCGCACGACATGCCTTCCAAGGGAAGCGGCGGTAACTGAATCACCCATCCCAGTTGTCTCGTCGTACTGGATGTTGTGGTGCTGCTGCTCGTCGTGCTGGTCACTGTCGTGCTGCTGGCCGTCGTGCTCGGCAGCGCTCGTGCCCGCCCTCCCGCCCTGCTTCTCCGCGCCCGCGTCGTGCTCCGCCTCGGGGGCGGCCTCCAGGCGCTCGGCCTCCTTCGCGGCCTCAGCTGCCCCCTGGCGCGCGGCCGCCGCCCGCAGCAGCGCGTCCTGCGCCGTCCGCGCCGCGGCCTCCGTTGCGAGGGCGTCCGCCTGCGCCGCGGCCAGCTGCGCGCGGGCGTCTGCGGCGCGGCGCCGCGCGTCAGCCAGCCGCTTTGCCTTCGGCCCTCCGCGCGCGGGCGCCTCCTCGCCGTCGGCGGTCGGCGGCGCTCGGGCCCGGGGGGCGCGCGCATTGGCCAGCGGTGTGTCTCGGCGCCGCCGCCCTGTGGCCCGCTGCTCGGCGGCCTGCAGCCTCGCCAGTTGTCCCGTGGAGTGCAGCTCCTGGTAGGTCGGCTCTTGTCCGCCGCTGGCGCCCCTGGTCGCTCCGCCCGAGGCGTGGGCTCGGGTCGCCAGCGCGGCGTCTTCTGGCCTGGCCCGCTCCGCGGCGCTGGCCGTTCGTAGCAGGCTCCCGAGGGGCGCGGCCTCGGCGGCGGTGTGCTCCGCCTCCGTCGGGCGCGAGGCTTCGGCCTCGGCGCCCTGCGCTGCCTCCGCCAGTTGCTCGGTCTCCAGGTGCTGCTCCAGCCCCGCGGCGCGAGCGGCCGCCAGCGCTTCGGCAGTCGCGGCCTGCTGCTCGGTCAGCGCCTCGGGCCTGAGCTCAGCCCCCGCCGTGCCGTCCGCGCCGCGCGCGGCCTCCGCCTGCTGCTCGGCACGGGCCTCCTGCCTTAGCCGTTCCAGCAAGTCGTGCCCTGATCCTGGCGCGCGGGCGGCCGCCAGCGCTTCTTGGGCCAGCGCCTCCGCGTGCGCCTCGGACGGCGGCTCGCGCTCGCCAGGGCCGTCGCCAGCTGGGTCCGCGCGCTCGGCCAGCGCCTTTACCAAGGCCGTGGCCAGCTGCGTGGGCTGCCTGCCTCGGTGCTGCGCCAGCTCCCCGAAGCAGCGCAGCAGGTGCTCCGCGACCCGCGCCTCCGCCCGGAGGTACTAGGCCCTGCGGGCGGCCGCGGGGCGCGGCGAGCGGCGCCGCGGGCGCCACCGGTCCACGGCAGCGGCCTCCATGGCGTCGGGCTGGGTGCCTGCGAGGCGGGTGGGGACGCGGGGAGGGCGAGAGGGCGGCGGCGCCCCGGCGGCGCCCCTGGCGCTGGCTGGCCACGGGCTCCGCGCTCGTGCCAGCCGGAGCTAGGAGGAGGAGGAGGAGAAGGAGGAGGAGGAGGAGGAGGAGGAGGAGGAGGAGGAGGAGGAGAGGAGGAGGAGGAGGAGGAGGAGGAGGAGGAGGAGGAGGAGGAGGGGAGAGGGGAGGAGGAGGAGGAGGAGAGGAGGAGGAGGAGGAGGAGGAGGAGGAGGAGGAGGAGGAGGAGGAGGAGGAGGAGGAGGAGGAGGGGGAGGGGGAGGGGGAGGGGGGGGAGGGGGAGGGGGAGGAGGGGTAGGGGGGAGGGGTAGGGGTAGGGGTAGGGGAGGAGGAGGAGGAGGAGGAGGGGAGGAGGAGGAGGAGGAGGAGGGGAGGAGGAGGAGGAGGAGGAGGAGGAGGGGAGGGGAGGAGGAGGAGGAGGAGGAGAGGAGGAGGAGGAGGAGGATGTGATGATGATGATGATGATGATGATGATGATGATGATGATGATGATGATGATGATGATGATGATGATGATGATGATGATGATGATGTGATGATGATGATGTTGATGATGATGATGATGATGATGATGATGATGATGCTGATGACGACGACGACGACGACGACGATGATGATGATGATGATGATGATGATGATGATGATGGATGATGATGATGATGATGAATGATGATGATGATGATGATGATGATCATGATGATGATGATGATGATGATGATGATGATGATGTGATGATGATGATGGTGGTGGTGTGATGATGATGATGCTGATGCGCTGCTGCTGATGATGATGATGATGATGAGGAGGAGAGGAGGAGGAGGAGGAGGAGGAGGAGGACGACGAGGAGGAGGAGGAGGAGGACGACGACGACGAGGACGAGTACGAGGACGAGGAGGAGGAGGACTTGCAAGCTGCTCTGCCACGACTCTTCGCAGTCCTCCCGGCGGCCAGCCAGGCAGTCGTCGAGCCCGGCACTTGAGACGCGGCCATCGCAGGAGGCATCCGTGAATGTTCTTGCTCCTCCTCCTCAACCTCCTCGTCGTCGTCCTCCTCATCCTCCTCCTCCTCCTCCTCCTCCTCCTCCTCCTCCTCCTCCTCCTCCTCCTCCTCCTCCCCCTTACTCCAGGCCTGAGTTACCCCGGGGATAGCTCGGGCGCCCGCGAGAAGCAGTCCAGAGAGTCCCGCGTCGGGCTTCTTGAGACGCGGCCATCGCAGGAGGAGTGCAATCAGTGCAGGCCACACGACAGGGCCATGCCCCCGTGGCCTGAACCAGGAGACTGGGTACTCATCGGACGTCGATCAAATAGCCTTACGTCGGGCCTGTCCCTCTACAGGGGGGATATTCAAAAATAGTCACACTATAGTCCGGGGACGATTTTTCGATTATTTTTTTGATATTTGGGGGTATATTTTAAGTGCTTTTAATTTTTCGCCCAAAATCCCCCTGTAGGGGGACACGCCCGACTTAAAAATAGCCGAGCCACGCTGACAGCATCCACGCCGAGCCAAACACAGTCGCTCTTCGGGCGCCGACCAGCAACGATGCTGTTCCACTAATGTTGCGACGAGCGAGGGCAGCGCGGTTGGCCATTGCACTTCAGGCTCAAATGCCGCACATACCCACCCGTCGAGAAAGCCTTGCACTTCAGGCAGATACAAAGAGCACTGCCGTCTGAGCAAGAAAGACCGATGCACTTGTGGCCAAGCTCTTCTGAGCTTGGTGTAATGAAGCTTGTGGATCGTGGTGCAGATACTGTTTGGGGGCCAACAAGACCTGGCGACCCTCAAACATTGCTTGCACTGCCAGAACTCGTTCCCCCATTCCCAGGAATGGCGGACCTTGGGAAGGACACGACGGGCTCCAGCTGCTCACGCATGGCCTGAGAGAGGGCACGCGCCGGCCACGGCTGGAGGAATCTGGCAGCGAGCACACGAACTCTCCTGGCGATCGGGAGGGCTCGGTCGAGCCGCTCGGTCTGCTCGGGGCTCGGCCTCTCGTGGGCTAGCGCCCCGAGCTTGGCACAGTGATCGGCGAGGTCGTTGCCTGCCTTGCAGAATCGCTGGTCGACGATGATGACGACGATGACGATGATGATGATGATGATGATGATGCTGATGCTGGTGATGGTGATGGTGATGGTGATGGTGATGGTGATGGTGATGGTGATGATGATGATGATGATGATGATGATGATGATGACGATGACGATGATGATGATGATGATGATGATGATGATGATGATGATGATGATGATGATGATGATGATGATGATGATGGTGATGGTGATGGTGATGGTGATGGTGATGGTGATGGTGATGGTAATGATGATGATGAGGATGATGAGGAGGAGGATGAGAAGGACGATGAGGAAGAGAGTGAGGAAGAGGAGGAGGAGGAGGAGGAAAAGGGCGGATCGGGCATTCCAACCGCCTCCAGGAGCCCTCCGCCAAAGCGTCGCGACGATCCGCGCAGGGCCTGCGCCGTATCCGCCGCGGGGGCCCTGGGCAGGGCAGGGCCGCTCACGATCCTATCCGATGCGCTTCGGTCCGCTGATGATGATGGTGATGATGCTGATGATGATGCTGACGATGATGATGCTGGTGATGACGATGCTGATGATGCTGATGATGATGCTGATGATGGTGATGGTGCTGGTGATGACGATGATGCTGATTCCGATGCTGATGATGCTGTTGATGATGTTGTTGATGATGATGTTGCTGATGCTGATGATGATGGCGATGATATTATAATGATGATGCTGATGATGCTGATGATGATGTTGCGATGATGATGATGACGATGATGACGATGCTGACGAAGATGATGATGATGATGATGATGATGATGATGATGATGATGATGATGATGATGATGATGATGATGATGATGATGATGATGATGATGATGATGGTGGTGGTGGTGGTGGTGGTGGTGGTGATGATGATGATGATGATGCTGATGCTGATGCTGATGATGATGATGATGATGATGATGATGATGATGATGATGATGCTGATGATGATGATGATGATGATGATGATGATGACGATGATGATGATGATGATGATGATTATGATGATGATGATGATGATGATGATGATGATGATGATGATGATGGCTGCTGCTGCTGATGCTGCTGATGCTGACGATGCTGCTGATGCTGATGATGCTGATGATGCTGATGCTGATGAGGAAGATGATGATGAAGATGGTGGTGGTGATGATGATGCCGCTGCTGCTGCTGCTGCTGATGCTGCTGATGATGACGACGACGACGACGATGATGATGATGATGATGAGGATGATGAGGATGATGAGGATGATGATGGAGATGATGGCTGCTGCTGCTGCTGATGTTGCTGATGCTGCTGATGCTGGCGATGCTGATGATGCTCATGCTGATGCTGCTGATGATGATGATGATGCTGCTGATGATGATGATGATTCTGATGATGGTGGTGGTGGTGGTGATGATGCTGATGATGCTGCTGCTGCTGATGATGATGCTGCTGCTGCTGATGATGCTGCTGATGATGATGATGATGATGATGATGATGATGATGATGATGATGATGATGATGATGATGATGATGATGATGATGTGGCGGTGGCGGTGGCGGTGGTGGTGGTGGTGGTTGTTCGCCAGCGATGGGTTGTGTTTCTGACCCGGTCTGGCCTCGCGATGCAATGCTGCGGAGGCCTGTCGGGGCGGCCGGCAAGGCCCCTCGGCCTCGTTTTGTTGTATCGTGGTTGAGCTCTCTTGGGGGCCTCTTGGGAGCCCTGGGGGGGCCTCCGGGGGCCATCTTGGAGGCGGACGGTCAAACGAGGGGGGTACCAAGTGTAGCTCCCCCCCTCGGGGGCCACGATCCTCGTGAGGGGTGTCAGAAATTGGCCCTCCCAGGGGCCGAAGAAAGACACTCTGACACATCGGTCCCCATCCCCCCAACAAAAACAGTGAGGGGAGGGGGAGGGTCCCCTCCCCGAAGGGGCTTTCTCAGCGAGTCTTCGCTTTGGGCAGAGGAGTCCAGGGGGGGCCCAACTGCAGCACTGTTGAAAACATCTGTGCGTTCTCTCTTCCCGGGTGGTCGGTGTTCACTGGCGTTTTTCGCCCCCAGTGTTTTGTGGACGTACCCACATCTAGGATGGACGCCACCCCATTGCATATCCCAGAGTTGGGCCCAGCATTTTGGGTCCAGTCGAAAGTCTGGGACTGGGATCGCCATGCTCCTCGTTGGGTGCTCTTCGGCAGCAGGGGAGGCCTTCGATCAGCCCGTGAGGCCTGCTGGTGGAGGGATTCGGAGGCGCGGCTTTAGAAACGAAGGCTGGCGAGAGGGAGGATACATGGAATGAGTAGAGACGATGGTAGCAGACAAGAAGTGAGGGGAGACCTGGGGAGAGGAGAGGACAGGATGGGAGCAGTGAGGAGATGGGCGGAGCTAAGAGGAAATGATGGAAGGGGAGAGGATGCACATGTGTTTGGGGGGCTCCGAGTGGCAGCTGGAATTCTTCCTCTTGGGCCCCTGTTGGAGGCACTCTTGGGGCTCTCGGAGGCCGCTTGGGCCGTCTTGAATGCTCTCACGACATAGGAGACGAGCATGCGACCATCACGCGAAAACCTATGGCTTTCCAGTGGTTTAGGCACCGTGGGCCAGCCCCGCTGCCCTTAAGATGCACCAAGAGATGCCCCAAGAGGCTCCCAAGAGAGCCGCAGGACGGTCCCTCGGGGCCATCGTGGAGCACGGTGGCAGGGTGTAGCCCGAAGAGCGCCCCCGAGGCCGCCGGAAGCGTCAACGTGGAGAGCCCCAGCAGCGTCCGAGAGCGCTGCCTTCCCCCGGGCTCTCTTCAATGCAGGGCTCGGAGGGACTTACAAATCTTCCAATTCGGCGTCGCGGCACAGTGGCGGATTCTGAGAGGCGCTCTGGGAAATCCAAACAGAAACCCGTGAGCCCCAATACAGATAAGCAAGTCCCTTTCGACGTTGAGCATGTGAAGGCGGGACGCTCGTGGCGGAGCCCCTTCTATCCACTAGGGTCCGGCGAGCGGACACTTCAGGTTGGGATCATGCTGGCGGCATCTCGTTCAAACACGACGAAGTCCTACCCTCAGGGGCAACCGAGGGCGGGGACCTGATGGGCGAGACTATCTACCACCACGAACTCCAACGCGGAAATTTGGGGTAGCACCTTGTTCACCGCTTCTGGGCCCTGGATGAGCCTGGCCAGCGGAGGTGGATATGTAAGATCTCGTCGCCCTTGTGCAGCCATCGCAGAGCTCAGCACGCAAGGGCAGTCCATGGCGGCACCCTGCGGGCTGGGACGCGTCGGCGGGGCCCCGCGCAGCAGCAGCCGCGGAAGCCACGACTCGGAGGCGTGTCAGGGTGCAGACCCGTGCTTGTGGGACTCTGCCCAATCAATGCGCAACCCAACACTCAGGGGCAGCCATGGGCGGGAACCTGTACAGCCACCCACACTTTTTTCGAGTCGCGGGCTCGGCGGACGTGCGAGCCGGTCATAGCAAGCGCTGGGCCACAGCGAGGCGGACTGCGCACAGGGGAGTCTGGAGGTCTGGGAGAGAAGCGGCCGCGGAGGGAGGGAAAAAGAAAGCCGCGCCCTCAGAACACGTAGTCCTGGAAGCGGAGTGCTGCGGCCTCAGGCTCCATGGAGTTCACAACCACACGACACGCGGGGGGGGGCAAGTCAGGGCGGCGCCTGCGTGTGGGCCCCCACGCTGCCGCTGCGCAACCGATGGCGAGACTCTTTGAGCCCCAACGCAGGAGCAGCTGATGGCGGGACTCTGGGCTGGACCGTACACAGCCGCCAGAAAGCCCACCACCCAGATCGAACTCTTTTCACGGCGGGTAAGAAGCCTTCAGTAAGAAGCCTTCTGCCATGGGAGAAGTAGCACCTTCCATCAGGACAGAACATGAAGGGCAGGACCATAATTAGGCAGCCGCCAGAAATCTGGCACACAGGGCGGTCAGGACCGGCTCCTGCAGGTGGGGCTTGGCACAATTTTCGGGAAGAATCTGGCTCCAAGGCTCTGCGGGTGAGACCTCGTGCAGGCACGGGGGATCCGGCGCAGCGGTAATTGTGGGCGGGACCCGCTGGGCTGGACCCTGTGCCACTACCGCAGGAGGAGGAGGAGGAGGAGGAGGAGGAGGAGGAGGAGGAGGAGGAGGAGGAGGAGGAGGAGGAGGAGGAGGAGGAGGAGGAGGAGGCACGCGGGCAACTCAGGGTGGAACCCATGGGTGGGATCTGATGTGCAGCCATATTGCGAACCAAAGGGTCCGCAGCTCGAAGGATGAGAGGGAGAAGGGAGGAGTCCATCACGTAGGTGCGATCGAGGGGGGGCTCCATCGGCGGGACTCGACGCGACTGCTGGATCATCCTGCACAGTGGCAGCCGACGGTGGGACCGTCCCCATGTTCCCCCTTCCCCCCTCTCCTTCCCCCTCCTCCTCCGCGTCTCCCGTCGCCCTCGTCCTCCTCCCCCCCCTCCTCCTCGCTCGAGCGGCCCCCGCTCGGGCCCGAGCGACCCTCCGGCGGAAGCGGGCCTTCCGTGTCCGTTCCGTCCGCTTGCGGGCCACAGCCCCCGAATGGGGGGGCCGGCGGGCTCGCGGAGGCGCTCGCGCTCCAGGTCCCGCCGTTGAGCGGGGCCCGCCGAGAGGGGCGCCCGAGCGGCCCCGTTGGGCCAGCAGGGCCACGCTCCCCCCGCAGGAGCCTGCGGGCGCCGCGGGGTGCGAGGGGGAACTTGGGAGGG